GCAACTCTGAGCAGAAACAAGCTTTCTCTTGGTCTGCACTTTCTCCTGTATCTGGATTCTACTTCTGATTTATCAATTCCTGTTACATCACCTGCTAATCCCAGGAGTCATTAGCACACTGCTGATCTGGGATTTATTATATCAACTCCTTCTCTGCAAACTCCAGCCTGTGGCCCTCCTGTAATATCTTTCTAATTCGGGTTCACTAGCTGCTGCAACTACACAAGTTGAAAGATGCCTCCAGCTTGCATCTGACCTATGGCTTGAACTGGACTAGGCCTTTTTACTTCAACAACTATGTTCACCATTTATTGATATAAATCTCTTTCTATATACATTCACCGACAAGGGTCAGGATTGGAGGAAGGTTTATTAACAACTTGAAAAACATGCCTTTTACTTAAATCAAAGAGAACTCAAAGTACTTGCTGATTAAAAAAAAAAGCTCAGACTTTATTATGGATTACAACTCAATGTAAATAAGACCCAAAGGCTCACAACACAACCCATAGCCAATATCCTGAAAAATAAAGAAACAGTGGAAGCTGTCAAGGATTCATTTTACTTGGCTCCACAAGCAGTGGTCTTGGAAGCTGTAGTCAAGATATAAAGTGATGTGTTGCCTTCAGTAAATATGCTCCACAAGACCTCTGTACGGTGTTGATGAGTGAGGATGTCACTTTGTGGATCCAAGTGTAGCTACATGATCCAAGTCATTGATTTTCAATCACCCTGCTGACTGTGAATACTGGACAATGAACTATGGACACTGCCAAAGAATCAATGTATTTGCATTATGGTGTTGACAAAGAATATTGGAAATGCTGTAGATTTACAGAAGAAAAAGCAAACCCATTGTGGAAAAAATAGTGCACACTGTAAAGTGAGCATGGGGAGACCTAGTATCATATGCTTAGGATATGTAATATGGAGGATTCTGTTCCTGAAAACTTGCATCAAACTTGGTACATAGATGTAAAATGGAAAAGCAGGATTGTCAAAATGATGAAATGACACAGTAGCTGCAACAATGGGCTCACATATAATAATATTGAGGATGATCTAGAACCAGGATGGTATTTCAGAACTTTTGTAGTTGCTGATTTCATAGTCAGGAATTTTAGTCAAACAAGGTAGCTATACCAGCACTGCCATGTCATTGGTGGAGGTGGACTTGATGATAGAGTGATTAAAGCACTTGGTGATTAAAGTTGCTTACTGAACAGGGAGCGGTTCAAACCCACTAGCTCATCGCCATTATAAAGTTGATGCTATCAGCTCCCATAACGAGTGGTTGTCGTTGGGTGCTGTCCAGTCAACTCCGATTTATAGGAACCCTATGTAAGAAAACAGGGCCTAGTCCTGTGCTATCCTTACATTGTTGTGTTTAAGTCCATTCTTGAGCAACTGTGTCAATCCATGTCATTAAGAATCTTCCTCTTTTTTGTTGACCCTTTACTGCACAAAGCCTGCTGACCTTTCCAAAGGACTGGTTTGTCCTACAACATGCCCAACGTAAGTGAGGGAAACCACCTCATCTTCACTTCTAAGGAGCATTCTGACTGTTCTTGTTCCAAGACAGATTCGTTTGTTGTTCTGTCAGTCCATGGATTTTCAATATTCTTCACCAACACCATGATTCAAATGCACTGATTCTTCAGCAGTGTTGCTAGTCTATTATCTAATGTTCACATGCATATGAGGTGATTGAAAACACCATGAATTGGAGAAAGCACACCTCAGTCCTCAAAGTGACATCCTTTCTTTTTAGTACTTTAAAGATGGATTATGCAGCAGATTTGTCCAATCCAACACATCCTTTGATTTCTTGGCTATAGTTTCTGTGAGTGTTGATTGTAAATTCTAGCCAAATTATGTCCTTGATGACATCAATCCGTCTATCATGATTTTGTGTGTTTTGGCAAGTTGTGAGAGTTTTTGTTTCCTTTACATTGATACAATCCACATTTCAGGCTACAATCCTTAATGGTCATCAGCAAGTGCTTCAAGTGCTTACTTTCCATAAACAAGGTTACTTCATCTGAGTATTACAGTTTGTTAATACGTCTTCTTCCATTATCCTGATGCTGTGGAAACCCTACATAAGGTTGGTTTGAATCTGAATTTATTATGGGTTCAAATAAATGACAGCCACTATACTGTCTTGATAATTTAGAAGAGTCTTTATTTGGTTATAGCTGGACTGCTAGAATCTAAACGCGATTCTGTGATTGCAGTCCCGAGTTGACATTTCAGTCTATCTTTTAAGACAAAAAACCTCATTTATCCTTTGTCTAAGACTTAAGCAAGCGTGGACAGAAGCAGGAAACAAAATTAATGCTACTATTCTTTAGGGTTAGGGAGCGGCACGGGGTACAGCATTGATTATAACATTGTGCTAACTTCAAGAAGAACAAGCATGCATTACAAGGTACATTCCTTATCAAAAAAGCAACAATACCAAAATTGACTACAACATCCTGGTTACCATAACAAGATTAACTACACCATTCAGGTAACAATATCAAAAGGAACAATATTAGAACAAATGATATATTGAAGAATAGTCTAAACTAATTGTAGTGTCCTAAACCTGGGTACATGAGAGTACATTGTAAAATAAATCACCAGATAGGAGTTAAAAAATGGAGTTTCTTTTGCTAGTCTGCCTCAAATTGACTTGATGGAATTTCATTTTGATTATACATGATACATAACTGATAAAAATGTTTGCAATCAGAGAGGTGTCATGGGTGATGAAAGTCTAGAGAGATTACCAAACATTTTCAATGTATGAGACACTGAAGATAAGAGGGGACATTTATCTTCTAAGCTTATCTCATTGGGTATAAAATCACAAGTGTAAAATCAATAAATTCCTTGAGTATATCCATGTGAATTTCAAGAATATCTCAGGAACAGATTGATACAATGAACATTAATGGCAGAAGACCTGATGAGCTGTGGGATCACATCAATGACATCACTCATGAAGAAACCAAAAGGTCATGAAAAGGACAGAAGAGAAAGCAAAGATTTATCAGAAAGAATCTGACCCTTGTTTTTCATCATAGAATAGCTAAGGCAAGTTGTAGAAATGATGAAAATAAAGGACTGAACAGAAAATTTCCAAAGCCAGTTTCAGAAGGCAAAGTAAAATATTATAATAATAGGTACAAAGATGTAGCATTAGAAAACCAAAAGGGAAGAACACAATCAGCGTGTCTTAAACTGAAAGAACTCAAGAAAAAATTCAAGCCTCGAGTTGAAACATTTTAAGATTCTATTGGTAAAATAGTAAATGATGCAGGAGACATCAAAGAAGATGGAAAGAAGACACAGAGACTCTATACAAACAGATCTAGTTAAGAGCCTACCATGTCAGGGGGTAGCATATGAGCATGAACCAATAATAGTCCTGAAGATAGAAGTTCAAGTTGAACTGAAAACCTTAGCCCAACACAAGGCTCTAGGAATTGATGGAATAGCAACTGAAATGTTTCAACAGGCTGATGGAGCACTGAAAGCACACATTTGCCTATGTCTGTAATTTTTGAAGACAGCCACTTGGACAACTGACTGGACGACATCCATAGTTTCACCCATTAAAGGAAGGGAGACGTCGGACAGGGCAAGATATGACAAAATACCAATTTATAAACTATCAAGGGCTCATGAGGGAGGGGGGAGCGGGGAGGGAGGGGGAAAATGAGGACCTAATGTCGGGGGTTTAAGTGGAGAGAAAATGTTTTGAGAATGATGTACAAATGCACTTTACACAATTGATGTGTGTATGGATTGCGATAACAGTTGTATGAGCCCCTAATAAAATGTCTAAAAAAAAAAAAGAAAGAAAGAAAGGAGGCCCAACAGAATGCTCAAATTATCGAACATTAGTATCACATGCAAGTAAAATTTTGCTGAATACCATTCAACAATGGTTGTCACAATTCATTGACAGGGGTTCAGGCCGTATTCAGAACAGGACATGGAACAAGGAATATCATTCCCGGTGGACCTTGACTGAAGGCAGATTTTTATTAGTGTCTTCCTGACTATACAAGGGCCTTTGGCTGTGTGGACCTTGAGAAACGGTAGAGGTATGAGAAGAATGGGAAGTCCGCAGCACTTCATTGTGCTCATGCAAAACCTGGGCATGGATAAGGAAGCAGTTGGATAGCAGAACATGGGAAGGCATAGTTTAAAATCACGAAAAGTCAACCACACAAACTGTGACTATACATGGGGACTTCTCCAGATGTATTGCACAGAAATTGACTACATCTGTCATGGTAGTCCATGACCTGTTTTAATTTTCTTCAGTTTAACGTGAACTTACATATGAACAATTTGGGGTCTATTGTACGGTCATCCCTGACCTACTTTTACTGTTGACATTGAGCTTCTCCATCATATCTTCCCCCAAATGTAGTAAATTTCTGTGCAATACATCTGGAGACATTCCCATATACAGTCACAGTTTGTATTGTTGAAAAGGGATTTTGTAATTAATAAGTTATTGGTCTTGCAATATTCAGTCATGCAATCTCCATCTTTGTTTCTATCCCCAGCACTATGTTTTCTACCCATTGTTCCTTCTTTCTTTCCAACAATTGCTTTCCAATTTTCAATAACTATCAATGTATCTTGACTGTACAGTTGATTCATTTCAAACTAAAGATTTTAGTGGAATTTTGTAATTTCTTCATGCTCACCTTTATTAGTTGGTGCCTACTTTTGAATAATAGTAATAATGGCTGAGTTTTCTTATATTCAGATAGATATTGTTCTATCACAGACAGCATTGTACTTCCTGATAAATCCTCAAATGCCTTCTTGATGATTAATGGGACATCATTCCTCTTAAATTTGTCATTCCTGGAATAGTAAAACATATTATTTTTCTGATTCAAAATGGCAAATACCAATCCAATACAGCTCACTAACACCTAGAATGTCAATCGTTATGGGTTCCATGTTATTTTTGACAACTTCCAATTTTCCTAGTGTGTTAGTCTGGGTAGACTAGAGAAACGAATTTATAGACACTCATATGTGTGTAAGAGATAGTTTTATATAAAGGGTAATTGTACATTAATAAAGCATGTCAACCCAAGCCAGTACAAATCCATAAGTCTGATATTAGCCCACATGTCTGATAATAATCTATAAAGTCCTCTTCAAACTCACGAAACACATGCAATGATGCCGAATGCAGATGATCACAGGCCAGTGGGTGGAAAGTCTTGTAGATCCAGTGGCATTGTAAGCATCTCAGCACTGGCAGAGGTCTCCGTGTGTCTTCTCCAGATCCAGGATTCTAGCTGCATCAGGCTAGGTCCATGTGGCTTCTCTGGGATGTCTCTCAGGGAGTGAGCAGTGAGAGAGTGTCTCCTGTCTGCAAGGAGCAAAACTACTAGAGTTTCCAGAATTCTCAGGAGAAGGTCACACCCACACAGAGTCCTTCTTGTCTCTGACCCAATTGACCGACTAGACTCCACCACTTCACTCTTACTCTTGTCAAGTCCCAAATTGACACCAGATAACGCAACTACCACACCTAAGTTCATACTCCATGCATTCTAGGTTTCCACTGTTACTAGACGTTTTCAGCTATTTATCCTCATTTCAAGTTTTTCCCTAGAATCACATGAAGGTCCCAATGGCTTTACTACTGCAGACTTTATTTTGTCCTGTAATTATGATTGACTGTACTTTGAGAAGGTAGACCAGCCTTAATCTATTGTGAGTATCTTCGAACCTAACCAGAATATCTTCTAGCACTATCTCCGACAATGTTCTGCTTCTGTTCATGAGGTTTTCAGTATCTGATAATGTTCCGCTACTGCCCATAAAGTTTTTAGTGCCTAATTCCTCAGAAGTGAACAGCCTATTCCTTTGTCGTATTTTGGAAGCTCTGTTGAAATCTGTTCACTCTTGGTGATCCTTCAGGTGTTTGAAAAACAGTGACATAATATCGCAGCAAACAAAAGCCACCATCAGTATGACAAACTGACATATATTGGGTCAATATCTTAGAGCACATACTTGTCTGGCTCAAAATGGGTAATAACATTTCATTTCAACGCACGTAGGTCCTGGATATTGATCTCTGTACTTTCCACTTAATTTTTGACAACTTCCAATTTTCACAGATCTATACTTCATATATTATACATTCTCAATAATAGATGTCTGCAAAAATTTATTCTTTTTTTGAGGCATGAAGGCTGAGGATGATGAAGGTTCCGGTCTTTAAAGTTGACACTACTTTGAGAAGGCACCACCTCCTCATTTGTATTTCAAGTGCGGTCCAATCACCACACAATGTTCGACTGCTTTTAATGTTTGCACTGACAATCTATTTCATATTAGATTGTCAAGCCCTTCTTAATCTGGCTTAGTCTGGAAGCTCCACTGAAAGTTGTCCACCATGGTTGATCAAAATGGTATTTAAAATGCCAATAGCAAAGTATCCAGCAACACAAAACAGAAGCACCACAATATGAGAAACT